ATTGTATACCACTCTGTGTTGGTCTTTCACATTAAATTCCAGTGAAATATATTTATGTTTGTGGTTGTAATGTGACAAAATATGRAAAAGTTCAAGGGGTATGAATACTTTTGCAAACCACTGTATTTGATTCTTTTATTTTTAATTTTAAAAATTTCCAGGTATGGTGTTCTTGTGGACCCCGTTCAGGTGGTTTCTCTGTTTCTGCATGATCCCTACAGCTGGCCAGCAGCGTGCCTGTTGATCGGTAAGAAAAGCTTTGAAACGTTGAGCTGTGATTTGCCTCATGCACTCATGTAACTATAAATGTTTGTTTATGGTTTGTTTTTGGAATAAAATAAAGCACATATACTAAAACTTATTTTTTAAGGAAAACAGCTTTAATTCAGACAAATAACATTTAGGTTGTATTCACACCTGACACATTTGGTCCACATTAAGCAGACCAGAGTTTGTTTCTCCCGTTTGTCTGGACCTTTTATGCAGGTGTGAATAAACTCGAACCCTGGTGCGGACCAAAAAAACTGGACCAAGACTACTTCAAAAAGAACTCTGGTGCAGCCTCGAATCAAACCAGTTACAGGAAACGTGCCATTTTGGAGTTTATGAGCCACCATTGCTAAGCATCATAATATGGCTGAGTCCAAAATGGAGGGCCGGGTCCTCCAAAGGACCCAGCCTACCTGGTCAAGGTGGGTCGGATCCTTCATAGACCGGGAAGACCGGAAAAAAAGTGTCTGAATTTGGACGGTCTAGCCTCCCATCCTTACCGCTGCGTACGTGCTGTCACCTAGGAACTGTGATGACGCTAAACAGAAGCTAAATTAGATTGAAATTAAAAAATATATAAATATATTAGTGTTATTAATATCACAAAACAATAAAATTAACTTAAAGGTAATATCTGTATAACTTAACGGACCCGCCGTAGGTGCATGTTTATTTCGCATTTTATTTTTTTCTGACCAAAATAGAATCTAAAAACATGTTTATATAAATGATAAAGGTATTAAAATCACAACCTCTAGAAATTTTTAATTTTTATATCGCCATATTTTTATTTAAAACATTTTCTTTTCTCTCGCTTTGTCCGCCATTACTAGCGTAAAAAAATCTCTGGTCGGTCCACAATGCATTATGGGATATGGTGGGCCGGGAAGGATCCATTGGACCAGTCCTTCATTTCGGGCCAAAGGAAGGACGCATTTGTYGGCCGCATCGGAGGAGTCTTTGGTTTTGGACAGCCTCCGTTGCGGCGCTGTGACGTATGCGGCCGATAAATTTGGCCTTCGGAGGACCCGGCCCACCGTTTTGGACACAGACTATATTTAGCCCTTCAGTGTTGCTAACACTACCACTATGCTACAAACAATGAGCCCTTGTGGGTCGGGGAATGCAGARCRTCTCGTCTCCTTTGGGTTGCGGCACACATTTGCCGCACCGTCCCAAAATTAGAAGTATRTCATCGCAAAACTGCCTTTGAGTGAGCTGCTCTTGAAACTCTAAGTGGTATTGCAGTTGTATGAGTGACACCATCTTTCTTTCTGGGTCTGTGCTCTGTCCCGCCCCCGTCATTTCTGTCCAATGGGAGCAGTGATTGTCATCCACGTGGCTTTGTTTATAAATTATAGTCCACATTAAAAAAAAAAACACACAATGTGGAATGCAAACCACACCAAACGAAAAAAATAAAGTCCACTTTTGGTTCTTATCAAACAAGTGGACCAAAGGATTTTTGTAGTGTGAATAACTAACCCCAGTTGACACACTGGAGGAAAATCAACACACTCTGAGTTGGGGCAGGCCTGTCACGTTAGCTAATTTTGCTGGACAATAAATTGTCGCAGGAGTTATTGCGATAAACGATAATAATGTTTGGAGTAGGGATGCACCGTTATGAAAATTTCAGCCGATATCGAAATCCGATATAATTATTGCTGTTTTGGCCGATAACCGATATTTACCGATAATACACAAACACACAAATTATGTTATACAAATAAGCACAAACACACTTGTCTTTTTTTTTGATACCGTAAATAAATGACCAGACCTCTGACATGGCTCCCTATTTCAGCTATTCCTGGCTACGCAGCTTCAGTATCACTGTCATGATCAAACAGATGCTGCTCAACCAACCGTCTCCCCTCCCAAAACAGAAACTAAAGCTAAAAATTAGGAAATCAATATCGGACGTTAATATCGGCTCAGTTTTACATATCGGACCGATACCGATATTCAAAAAAAATAAATAAATATTGGCCGATACCGATATCAATACCGATATATCGTGCATCCCTAGTTTGGAGGCCACTAATATAATCACACACACCCATTTATGTATGTGTTTTCCTCTGGCTTTATAAAATTAATGCGTTCACCCTCACGCCGCTTACGAAATTCATAGAAGTTTATGAAATTTACGTAAAGTTACGGACAAACCGGGAGTGGATTTAGTGAGAGAAAAAAAGACAGCTACTGAAGCTGTAACGTCACTACCCACCTCTAAAAGCAAATGCAAAAACCTCAATACCTTAAATCATTTTTTGGCACATTCTGTGAAAATACACCTTTTAAAAAATCRTTCTATATGTTTTCGTTGAAAATGAATATCTTAAAAGGTGAGGTAAGTTTTTGTCGTATTAAAGTTTTTATCTTCCTTCAATGGTGCAGCCTGTGAGCTCTGCCTCATGTAAAACTGAAGACACACAGGTGCACGCTGCAGGCTGCTGGAGCTTCTCTCCCTGTTTATTTTTATGGTATGTTGCAGCGAAAGTCTGCAGTGATGCAGCTTGCAGCGTCTCTAGTGGGACAATCACCTGCCCTATATACTCAGCAGCACCAGCACCATCCTGCAGAGCGAGGGCGAGAGGAAAGTCGGTAGCAGCAGAGAGCAAACAGGAGTCGGGTGGGGGGGGAACCATTTAATGAAAGATTAATTTAAGGGAGTGAAAGCGTGGAGAGGGGTTAGAGAGGAGAGGAAAACGCAGTGTAGATGGCGAGAGATGAGGTAAAAGTCCTGTATCAAGACAGGGTAAGGAGAAAGAAGGGAAACTAGATGGAGTTAAGGTAAATGACTGCAGAGGCGGCGGTTAGGAGACAGGTGAGAGTTGGGTCTGTTAGCAGCAGCATGGATGGTAATGGAGCTCATTCCCAAAGGGACGCTGAGATCCACTGCAGCACCGCACGCTCTCATTTTAACTCTTAAACACCCTGACGGGATGAAAAGTGGGTGAAGTTGACAAACCCAACCTTAAAAGTGTTTTACATTTAGGGTTTTACCCTCATCATGAACTGTTTTTCATTTTCTTTAATTTTTGTTTCTGAAGTATCCTAAGTAGTGGACATCTGTGCGCATCTAGCAGATTCAGTTTAGACTCAAATCTTGTTTTTTTTATCCTTTAGTGTTAGTATCTGTTCTTCAAATGTCTCAGTGTATAGTTACACTAAATACATTTCCGTTTCCACATAATCCCACTTAAATGATCTTTAATACATTTGATTTGATTTATTGATTCAACAGGAAAATATTACTAAAAATCAAGCCTGACTCAGCATAATTGCTGTTTTACAGCAGGTTCCTGTTCTGCAGCACATAAAACACTCAGAAATACAGCATCACAATCATTATTATACACCATAAACACAAAGACAAACTAGACATGGGTTTTTACGATGTAAAAACAAGTGTGCATTGCCACGTAGCATGTCTTTGCAGCATGGCTTTGCC